ATAATTTTGAGGTAATTAAATTTTATATATTTTTTACTATTTTAACAATTATGCGCAATATTACGAATTTATTAAAATTTAATAATTAATATTACTTTATTTTACTTAGATATTAATAACAAATTGGGCACAACAATTTGTTAATATTTTTAAAACATATTCTCTATCTGAATTAAAATATTTAAAATTATATTCATGGATATATCATACTACTGATTTAATTAGAAAATATAGTTCTTTAAATAGATTCTCTACAGAAACTTATGAAAGTTTTTATAAAAATTTTGTTAAAATACCATATTATTTAACTAATAAACAGAATATAAAAAGTCAATTAATGAAAATAGTAAGAATTATTTTAATTTTTTTTAATAATATTTATAGTATTTTTATAAAATTAATTTTAATTATTTTAAATTAAATAGGTTTAAAGACAGGCTATTACTACAAAATTATTATCAAGCAAGCCAAAAAAGAATATTAAAACTATAAGTTCTTATAAATTTACAAATTTAATTTAGATATTTAGCTTGAATAATACTTAAGAATTTATTAACCAACAACTAAACAATTATGATTCAAATTCTAAAATATATTCTGAACTTAAATACAGTCATATCTGAGTTATATCCCCACTGGGTTATATCTCAACCTGAGTTATATCTCCATATTAAAGCAGAATAAATTTCTTTTTTTTTATATGTTTTGATATGTTTTATATATTAAGTTATATTCCTGCCTTAGTTATATTTTCAAAAATGCTTTGGAAAAAAGTGATGATATAACCCAGGTGTGACTGTATCTTTTAAAATATTTAGATACATATTTTGACTTAACAATTTAGATAATTATATAGTCAAAATATATAGTTTAGTTATTTTAGAAAATAGATCTATAATTCGGGCAACAGATAATTTTTATAGAAAAGCCTAGTATAGCAATATAGCAATTGCTATGAATTCTGAAGAACTATTTGATTATTTATTAGATCAAGGAATTTGTTATAGACAGGTATTTTTTTTATATTTTAATTTTTAAAATTTTTTAAAATATTAATTTAAATTTTTAATATTTAATTTTAAATATATTTATTAGTAAAGCTTGAATCTAACAAAAAGGTTTTAAATCTTGCATTAATTCAGTGGTATGATTTTAAATCTAAAAAGAATCTATATTATTATAGATGTCCTAGGCTTCAATTAACTAAATTATTTAATATAATTGATATTAAAGCAATTAGAAATCAAATTCATATAATTCCTCGCTTTGATAAAACTAATGATTATTTAGTAAACAAATATATTTTTTAATAAAAATAATAAACTTTAATTATATTTTAAAAAATTCGCATATATTTAAATAAATGCAAATTTAAATATTTTTAATAATTGATACTAAATTCAAGAATTTAATTTGAAAATATTCTATTAAATTATGAATTCATATTAAATATTCATAATAATTTAAAATAAACATAAGTAATATGAAAATATTTTTATTTTAATTAAAATATTAAATAGATGCGAATATATTTGAATCTATTAAAAAAATAAATAATATCATATTACAAAAATATATTATATATGTAAATTAAAAAGGATATAACAGAATCTTATATATTATCTGAGAAAATTGGGTGCTGTCAGCTACTCTATTCCACTAATTATATCAATCTTGATCAAGTTCTTTAATATATGTCAAATGAGATACTTTTCATTTTGTGGTATCTCCCATCGATTTAATTATAAGTCATTAGTGAAAATCTCTAATCAATTTTTTTATAGTAATTTTTCAGAATTTTCAGAAATTCAAATTTTATATTAAATTATTATAGAAAAAAAAATTCTGTTACAAGCTTACTATTCTGCAATACATGCAATTCTTAAATAGTGCTAGATAAATGGCACATTATTCAGCATCAACAATCTTTTATATATGATAAGTTCTTAAAATTTCTTTTTATATGAAAACTTCTACTGCGAACTTCATCAACTGTCTTATATTTTGAATATTCTTAATATTTCTTTTATGAATTGAATATATAACAGAAATATTTTTTAAAGTTTATCCTCTCTATTAATACCTTGATTCAAATTTAATAGCTTATATCTAGATTTAATTATTAGCTCCAGATTTATAGTAATTGTTATCCGGATTTAATCAATAGATTCGGATATATGTGTTATATCCAGATCTAAATAGCAGGCATATTACCTTTGTCCACTCACAATTTAGTTTTGATATAGAGTGATAATAACTGATTTATTCTCTCGATTCTGATTATAAAGTTGCGCATTTCATAAGTTTAGCCTTACTATAACCACAAGACTTCTTTTATTTTTTTCTACTTTCTTTTTTCTGTTGCAAACAACTTTTACTTTCATTAGCAAAAAAAAATTTAGTATATCAATAAAAAAGTAAAAAAAGATAAATAATCAAAAAGAAATATAAAATTATAGATCATCCAAATCTGGAATCCGCACAATAATCTTGAAAAATAGTATGGAAATATAAATAAGAACTGGAGAATAAATCTAAATAAATATTCAATTAAATCTGGATTTAATAATTAAATCCAGATATAAGCTATTAAATCCGGTTTAAGGTATTAACTTTTTAAAAATTATAATTTATACGCATTATAAAAGTAAATAAATATAAACATTTCTATGAATTCATACAAATAATATTAGAATCTCTGATTATGAAGAAGTAAAGAAAAATATACTTTTTGAAAATAAAAAAGATCACAATTTGAGTAGATGTGGGCTTTCGTTCTATTCAAATTAATGATTATTGTTAGAAGTTTTTTAATTGGTATAAATTACTTGAACTAGTTAATGCTATTAACCTGGCAATAAACATCATGTGACTCACCAAAACATTTTATTAAGTTTATCTATATAGCAGTTGGTTTAATATCAAAATACGCATAATGAACGAAACTCGAATTTTAAAGAATATTAATAAAAATAACCGGTTTTTTCTGTATCCTTCACATTACAATTTTCACGTATTGATTATTAATTCACGAATATTACAAAATTAATTATGCACAATAAAAGTTATATTGATCATAATACTTTTAATTTAGCTGTTATGCATATATATGTAAGATTAACCAGACAAATTAGATAAAGAGAAAAATAAATTCAATATCGATAACCTTAATAAAAATTATGCTAAATATTTAAAAATAATTATATTAAATTCGAATTATGCCAAATTAATTAAATTACAGTAAAAATTATATTTTTATTTAATGATTATAATTAAAATAATAAAAAAATGATAAAATAATAGATATAAAAAAAAATACTACAAAATATTCTGAATATAAAAATTAAAATAAAAAATATAAAAAAAAAAATTATAAAAAGTTAAAACAAATTAAGATTCAGTTTCTTTAGTTTCTAAAGGTGCTTGAGTTTCAGCAGAACTATGCGCTCTTCTGGCAGCTCTATGTCCAGATAATCCCTCTTCTTGTGGATCTTTATGAGGTAATTCGGAAATACCTGAAGTATAACGAGATTCCAGAGAATATCTTGGACTATATATAGTCAAAGTTTGCGCTTGCGTACTTCTTGTTCGTCTAGACCTCTAAAAATTAAATTAATTAAAATTATAATAATAAAATTTTATGATAATATAAGTTTATAATTATTTGATTTTTTAAATTATATTACTCTTTCAGATAATTGTGCAGTACTGTGCTTACCTCTTCTGTCTCTTGGCTATAAAAAATTAATATAAGATAATATAAAATAAAACTAAATAAATACATACTTCCTCAGCTTTTGATTTTTCTGAGCTAGTTATATCACTATTCGTTGGTGGATGAAATTCTACACCATCTTCTAATTTTTTCTATTTATAGTAATTGTTATTATTAAGATTAATTAAGCATTAAAATTAAAATTAATATAAATTTATTTTATTGTATTAGTATTATTTCGAAGTATTTTAAATATATTTAAATATAATAAAATTTTATATATTTTTTAATTGCATAAAATTATAATTAAAATTTGCTTACTATATTTTTATTTAGTCTATTTTTTTCCAACTGCTCTGATAATATTATTTTATCATAATGCCAATTTAGTATTATTTTGTATACTGTAATCGCATATGCTATCTTAATTATTAGCAGATTTCTGCCAGCCCAAAGTTTTTCAAGTATTGTTTGTATATACGTTTCAGAGTTGGGATTATTTGGATCAATTTTTGCGAAAAGCTTCTTATAACAATTTTGTGTCTTTTCTGAAGCTTTCTATGCAACAACTCCTGAAGGAGAAGAATTTGTGCTGATAGAATCTAACATACTTATACCAAAAACAGAAAACATTGCATTCTTAATAGTTGTTGTTAAAGCACTTCGGTACATTTTAAATTGTCTTAAGAGCTAAAATTTATAATAAAATTAAATAATGAATATATTTTTAAATATTTTTGCATTTTTAAATTAATTCTAATTAATTCAAATATATTTGAATTAATTAGATTATATAATAATATTATAAAAAATTAAAAAATTTACATGTCTTTCGATATCCTTCTTATAATATGTTTTTCATTGCTTATCTGACATGTTTTCATAAAATTCACTATGATTTTCTTCTAAATAGGATTGAGCTACCTCCATTAATTTTTTGTTAGATGGATAAATTGAATATTCAATTAATAATTTTGCTGTTTCTTTAACTGTTTGCTATTAATATAAATTAAAAATATTATATTATTAGCTATAGTGTATATTATTCAGATATAATTAGAAATTTTATAATTATTATTTTAAATTAATTATTTAAAAAATATAAAAAAATATTTTAATAAAGTTAGATTCGTAGACAAGGTTAAAACTTTTTGAATATTTAATCATCAATCGATTCTATCAGTTTTTTCAGTTAGTTCTTTTAACATATTAATATATTCATTTAAGATAGCCATAATATTGGATAAAGTATTTTCTAAAAAATAATATTAAAATTAAAATTATTTTATTTAAATATAATTAAAATTATTATAATAGCTGATATTATTAAATAATTTCGAATACCATCGCCTTGTTGTGAAATATTATCTCTTGAAGTGGGTTCTTCAGTAATTTCAGTTGTTTTTTCAGAATAACTTGTAGTAGCTATTGATACACGTACAACAGTTTTGACAAGAAGGCTAGCAAAAATATTTTTGGTTTTTTGAATTCTTTTAGCGTGTTTAGGCATTATGAATTATATTAAAATTAATTAGAATAAAATAAAAAAATATTGAAAATATGAAATTATGAAATAGAATGGTAAAGAATAGATTGAAAGCATAAATGTAAATAATGATAGAAAGAAATTATGTTAATTCAAATTTATGTGAATTGCTTTGATATTATGAAAATTTGGAAAAGAGAAGTTTTGAAAGAATTTTAGAGAATTTGAAAAAATTTTACAAAAATGTTGAAATAATTTTCACTTATTTATAAATATTTAAAATTTTAGCATCTAATCCTTATAATCAAAGCTTCTATATAATCAAAGTTACTTTGTATTTAAAGTTTATTATTGTATTATATTATTTTACTAAATCAGTTATTCGAATATATTCGAATATATTACAATCATTTTAAACTATTTAATTTATTTATTAGAATTTTGCGAGTTAGTTTATATTTGGTTATAATAAACTTTTTTTACTTTTACATTTAAATGCTCTTATAATTATTATTTAAAATTATTTGAATTCTTTCGCTAAATTTAGAGTTTTTGTTAATAA